TTCAGCGCCCATTGTCTGGGCGGAGATAGAGAGCCCTATCACTGCCGCGTTTCTCTTCTTTGCCTTTTTTGGAGAGAGGGGTGCGCAATAAAGAATGCAATGAAAATAATGAGCGACTTAGTAATTTTTATGTGCCTATCCGAAATGTGCTTTTGAAGTAGCGCCCATGATTGATCGTCTTTTGCTGACCGCACCGCGGACGCGCGCGTCTCATGGTTGCTCTTTGTGCCTTTCCCATATTGCCTTTCTCAGTGAAATGGCCCAAAAAACCACCAGTACTGTCTGTAAAATGGTGAAACTTTCCAACTAACAGAGCTACTTAAGAAGCTGTCGCCTGAGGAAAAGAAGAAATACGATCTGGGCTTCCAAAATAACGCTTTCAATCAATACGCGTCTGATATGATATCAATACATCGGACGCTTCCGGAGATTCTTGACAAAGAGTACGTTGACTCCTCACGTTTCCCCTTTTTCTCTGTTTTTTTCCTTCTTTTTAAGTTTTATATAGCGGTATGCGAACATCGGATCGATATGCATCCAACTGTAGTAAAAGAGGGAAGGGGGAGCAGGTGGTGGATAAAGGGGAGGGCGTTCTGAATAGCGGATGTGAACCCCGGATCGATATGCATCTAGTTGTAGTGAGTGATGGGGGGGGGGTATTCAGGGGTGTGGGCCCTTTTCGATGTATTCCCGTGTTTCGAAAAAACGGAGTAGATGAAGTTCAGCCAGGTATCCGAATCTATCGTCACATCGATTAATTCGGCCGCCACCCAGGTAACTCGTAAGGGGGGGGGGGGGGAGAGGGTGGGGCGTCAGCAGGAGCCCACCCTTTTTCGCCCGTCATACGCTTCTATGAAACAGATTTGATAGATCCGCTACAGAGAATCGTAGAAAGAACAAGGTTGTTCATTAGGCCTTCTGCGTCCTCTGTACAGTGCGTTCTCGTCACCGGGTGTGGGGCGTTACTATCGAAAAGCAAACTTGTAGCAAAAGGACGTAATTGCTCGCAATGAGTCC